AAAATTCTTCCTTTCAAGAGATGAGATAACATGTTCTTTATGAGGGGAGGGGGTATAGTTTACTTTCACTGATTGCATTCAGGGTGCCTAATCTACGCACAAGAGTAACGTGCTGTCCTTCTTCTCTCTAAAGAGAATCGGGGCGGCTACCTTAGGCTTGTCAGGTTCGATAAACACCCTTTCTTGGTTTTTATTTATGAATCTTTCCATTTCCTCCTTCTCCTTAGGGCTCATAGAGTATAATCTGGGCTTTGGGAGTTTTGCCCCGGGCTTGAATTCTATGGCACAATCCGTGGGTTGGTGAGAGGGAAGCTCATCCGCCTGCTCCTCACTGAAAACTTCAGCAAGGTCTCAGTACTCCTCTGGTATTTCAGGTATCCCCTTTTCCTCTCCCATCGATACTTTCTCCATTCCTAAGTTTGGTAGGGCTCCTTGGGTTTTTAAGTTCGCACAATCCCCCTTCGGGAAATTGAGTTCTGCTGTCCTCCAATTTACCCCAGGGTTCCATTTCTTTAACCATTCCAACCCTAGAATCATTGGGCATTCCATGCCTGGAATCACTAGAAATGTTATGTCTTCCTCATGATTCCCCAGGAATAGGTGGACTAGTAAAGTGGCTAGGGTAGCTGGCACACCCCCCCCCCGCTCTGTACCCATCTATCTGGCCAAATGAGATTAGTTGTTTCAGTCTCTTCATTGGAATGCCCAAGTTCCCCACTAGTGTTGAGCTAATGAGGCAGCAGGTGCAGCCAGAGTCTGTTAAGGCTTTCACTTTGACAGCTTTGGCATGGAGGGAGCTAATATAGTCACTATCTTGAGGATGGGTGCGATGGGTCCACTTATCCAGGGTTCGCCCTCCGAGCTGTCGTCTGAGGTGTCCACCAGCCCTGCAGTGTAGGCTGGAGTTCCTTCCCCACGCTTGGCACGGGTTGGGGACTCCACAGCCTCTATCGCCCTCATGGCGGGTTCCTTTGGCTTGGCTGGGGACTTCCCTGATTTCCTGGCCAGTGATCGGTTTGGGTTATGCTGGGGGGGTTTTGAGCGGCATTCTATGGCGCGATGCCTCTCTCTCCTGCACTTGAAACAGCTCGTTGACTTGGTCGTAGCCGGTGGTTTCGCTGGCTCGCGCATCGGCTCAGGCGAGTGGCCCCATGTTTTTTTTTTTGCGGTTCCTCTTCAGTAGTTCGATCTCTTCTTCCTCCACCAGGACGTACCATTCATCAAGTTGGCGTGGGTTCCCTCGAGGTAGGCAAGCATCATACAGGTCGTAGTTTAGGCCGTCTTTGAAATGGCAAAGGAGGATGTCTTCAGGCCAGTTCAACTTGTTGGCAATGGCCCGGAATTCTTGGGTATGTTTGACTACCAGGCGTCTGCCCTGCCTCACCGTCTTGATTCTCTCTTGGGCCTTTGGATCAGTCAGGGGGTCCTCAAATCACCTTCTCAGGGAGGACATGGTGGTTGAAGTTGTTGAGCTCTGGGGCATTGGAATCATGCAGGTTCACCATCCAGTCTGCAGCCGCCCCGTCCAGAGTAGATTGCATGATACAAATACAGGCTTTATCACTGGGGATGTCCCATCCGTATTCTTCCATGTAGCTGAGGACTTGGGTTAGGAAGTGTGGCGGCTTCCCCCTGAATTTTGTGTCCAGCGGCGGGAATATTTGGATGGATTGGTGCCTTTGCTGCCGATGGTATTGTCTCCCATCCTGATTGCCATATGCAGGTCGGCAGGGAGTGGGGACTACCGAGGTGGTAGCTGCTGTTTCAGTGTATATCTCCAGGACTACAGTTTCCGATTCCCGCTCCATGTCTCTCCAGTTGCAGCTCCAGATGCTGGTGTGACCATGGGGCTCAGAATTCTCTTCCCCTAGAGAGCTGAGGGTTCTTTTCATCAGGTCAATAGCTTTCTCTAAGATCCAGTTCGAGTGCTGTGCACAACTTTCTTCCTCTTCGCTAATGTGCAGGGATTTCTCCATCTCTTGCTTCCATTCGGGTTGGTGGCTGCCCTGTCTCAGGGTCGCCTTTCTCGTTCTCTTTTCCTACTCGTCTTACTTGCCAACGCCCATCGACCACCTAGGTTTGGGGTCGTGCGTTTTCACCACTTCCTCTCCAGAGGAGTATGACGACTTGGATCCTGATAGCTGGCAAAATCCCCTGGTAAGGTTCTTCCTTCCAGGTTGACTATTACTGCAGATCCTGTCTAATGTAAGGACCCACTTCAATCCCACATCTTAAGGAAGCAGAACTCTTGGAAACAAGTTTTTCCAACAGGAACTTTTATTAAGAGTTGTTGATAGCATGCATAATAGACAGGATCTGAGGGATTTCTTTACAGATCGATTACTTTAAAGTGTTCCTAAGTAAACCCCACCCCACAGTTTATCCAGACGATTCAGACCAGCCAATCCCCAGGTGTTAAATCTATTGTGGGAAAGGGGAGATAACATCAATCTGGCTCTGTTTATAGTGCAATGTTCCACAGCTCTTCACACTTCCTTTTGAGAATGGAGAAATAAGCCAGGTTCCGGACATTTGTACTACTTTCCTCCCTTTTTCATAGCTGCCTGGTTAGGGAGAAAAAGGTTCAGAGAGATGCGTAGTGCAGGAGACAATTTGTTACATTGTAATGGATAGCAGAAACAGAGTCAATAAACAAAATGTTACATTGTAGCAAATAAAGGAAGTGAAAGAAATACCCGCATGCATATCCCCTCTCCCCCTTGGAAGTATGGAAGAATCCAGGGAAAGGTGAGATTTGATTTTAGATCAGAGATAGATAGAAATGAAATATAACTGGATTCTGACAGTGTGACCAAGTTGCTAAGTTACTCTTTATATGTAAGGTTGTAAAAAACTTAAGACTGGAATTGCTGACAGATTGTCCTTGTCACTACAGATAAGGACAGTTGCTAAAATCATCTAAAGTGGTCTGGATATAACAACAGCCAAAATGTCATCTGGCAGTTATTTGCAGGCAGGACTTTTTGAATAGAGATGCTTTTATTTTGAAATACTGTCCTTTACCCTGACACTTTTGCAGCTCTGCTTTGATCTCACTGTCACAGGTCTAGGACAGTTCATCCTGGCCAAATAACCATGCCCATTTCACTGTGACTTTTCCAGCACAATTGACCCACCACGGGCCTTAATCCACAGCTTGCCCTGTACCGATGTTATACGGCCACCATTACAACTCTGCAGCTTCTCCAAAGCTGCATAGTTGTGGGCGTTGCACCATGACACATCTTCATGGCTCATTCCTCCCAAGGGAAGAATAAAACATGCCTCTGACACTTCTGGCCTTTGGCTCATGCCCATTGGCAAGAGGCTCAGGGGGCATGAACAGCTTCAGCAGCAGCCAGCAACATTCAGATGGTGGGGGGAGGTGCTGGCGCAAATTTGCAAATGGACCCAATTCAGAGATGAATCAGACAGTCGGATTTGGTTAAATAAAGGTACTTTTGAAAAGAAAAGAAAAATAGTAACACTGATCTTTCTCCTTCTCTGTATGCTTCTTGAGAAAAAAAATAATAAAAAATGGGTTACTTATACAGTTTAGTGCAGAATTGTAAACCTTTTCCACAAGTACCTTTGAATAGGAACCAAACTAAGATCTAAGATGAAATTGACCATGTTGTATAAAATTAAGGGCTCTGGGATTTTTTTCTGTCTTTGTGTATATATGTGTATTGAAGTGAAAAAATAGTGAAAATATTGCAGGGAAATTGGGAAAACTTTTATGTAGCTGTCAAATATCTTTTATCACCAGAGACAAGATTTTAAATTCTATTAGGAAAGTGCTAAAATAAGCTATTAAAAAAATTACCTTCACCCTGGTTTACCTGGCTAGGAAAACAGGCAAAGAAAGCCATGTTCCTTTTTCTCTCCCTGTGCTTTTAAGAACAGCCTAATTTCCATGCCACAACATATTTTTCAGGATCATTATCATCTCATCAAACTTTTTAAAGAGAAATTCAGGTAAGGGCTACATTCTCCCCACCCTCCTTTCTTAGGTGTCAGCCAATGTTCAGCCATTTCTTAGTCTGTGAAACTTGATCAAGAAACAGAGAACAAAAATGAGATGTTTTCTATATGTTTCTTTATATTTCAATCCCAGGTTAAAAGAAAAATTAAATAGATGTAAATTCCAGATATTTTTCCAGTTCAAAAAGTATAGAAATCCTGTGATGAGAATCTAAGGACTTTTCACACACAATGGTTGCCTTGCTTCCATATAGAGAGGACAGAGGTTATCAGAAGAACATATATCAAAAAGAAAAAAACAGTTCAACCCTAGCAAGTAGTTGAAATAAATCAGCATTCAACCATTCAACTTTTAAAACAGAAAACAAAATGAAACAATAAGTTCAAAAAGTGAAGCTTAATGTCCATTTTCAAAAAGTGAAGCTTAATGTCATTTTCTTAGGAAAATGAAACTGCCAACAGAAAGACATATATGCCCAGTGACTTTGATTATGTCCAATCGGAATTGGAATCTTCAGGACCCCCCCTTCCCAACTGGGTCTATGATTGTCCAAAAGTCTTCTTGGGTTCCTATTCAAAACAGGGAGCAGCACTACTAAAAAACAAGTTTTGGCAGTAAAATTGACAGATCATTTGTAAGAGAAAAAATAAATTCTTATTGTGCAGCAGCCATCTGTGGTGGAAGTCCAACCCATCAACTTCTTCATGACTTTTTACATTGCTCATCCATTCCCCAAGCATTTATTATATGAAAATAATTTAATGAATACTATTTTAATGGTACTACAAACAATCATAATAATAACAGTCTCCTTGTTAATCCGGGGGGGGGGTCAATAATGATCACTTAAAAACACTATGCCATAAAGCATCCTTTTTGTGATATAATTTCTACTGAGATCTGTAATCTAGACTAATCCAGCTTTTATTTGAAAAATATATTTGTACTTTGTTCCTTTTCTCCTGTGAAATTCAATACATGAAATGTTTTGTATAATTTTACTTTTGTTTTATAGAATACAACTCATTCTGGACAACAAAAAAGTCACAAAAAGCTTTTAAATCGTGAGCATAGTTGGACAAGTGATATGCTTGATTGGCAGGATGTTGCTTCTTTTATTCATGAGAATATTGAAACATTTCTTTCGGTATGTGGTTTTTATAATAAATATTACAAGAAATACTAATTTCCAATTTCATTCATTTTAACAAAAGTAAAAGCAGATTAATAGATAGTTCAAAAGGTTGGCCTTGTTAAAATCAGCATCTGAAATTCATTTCTGGCTCTTCATCAAAATGTTGTAATGCTGGCTTATAGTTCTTATAATTCTTAGTATATGCTTTCCTGTCTGTACTTACTTTTCTTCAGCTGCTGTTTTTCCTAAATCCTGTGAATTCCTAGCCTCCATTACCATAAATTTCTTCCATCATTATTCTTTTTTAAACTATCTGTGTACTGATTTCCTTCTATATGCATGCTATTCTCTGTCACACATAATTACATACATTTCTCTTAGCCAGATGCAGCAAAAACAGAAAAAAATATAAACAGTATGGGAATAACTATAGTATATTTATTATAATGTGTTAGCACTTTTTACAAAGCTGAAAAAGACTGGACTATTTCTTTTACGTGTCTAGATTGTGAGCATGTATAGCAAGATAGGAGAAGGAAAGAATCCCTATTTCAAATGATGTATTCTGTGTTTATTTGCAAAATCAAGCTAACCCCACTCTTGAATCTGAGGTCAAAGATAAATTGTTATAGAAAAAGATATTGTCTTTCTTTAAAATAAATAGAGGGATAAACTTCCAATTGAAATGAGTAATGATTAAGTTTATATGTTTAAAACAGACTGTAATTTATGCATATGCTATTGGATGACTTGAAAGATCAGCATAGGAACAGATCATTAAGAAGAAAATCTGTGTGGCTGTTTAGAGTTAAAAACATCTTAATGGCATACATAGTTTTGTAGCCAGTTATGAATCCCATTTCAAATATAGGAAGTCCTCAACTTACAAGTTCATTAGTGACTGTTAAAAATTACAACAGCACTGAAAAAGTGACATGATATTCTTCATATTTATGACCATTGCAGCATCCCCATAGTCACATGATCAAAATTCAGATGCTTGATAACTGGCTCATGTTTATGAAGACTGCAGTGTCCTGCAGTCATGTGATTATCTTTTGTGACTTTCTAACAAGCAAAGTCAATGGGGGAGCCAGATTTACTTAACAGTTATGTTACTAACTTAACAACTGCAATGATTCATTTAACAACTGTGGCAAGAAAGATTGTAAAGCTCACTTAACAACTGTCTCACTTAGAAAAGAAATTTTGGGCTCAGTTGTGGTAAGTCAAGAACTACTCTTTGCATTTATGAAATTCTACATTTTTATACAACCACCTAGAACTCATTATTTCTTTCAGTAAATAAAAAGATGATATCACTGAAAATTATTCCTTGAGATGATCTACTTATGAGGGCAATTTGGAAATAAACTTCTGTTTGGTTATCAATGACAGATACTTGCAGATATAGAACCTTTATTACACACTTTAGAAAACTACAACGTTACATTACTTTTCAACATAATCACCATTCAAATTGAGGCATTTGTCGTAACGTCTTACAAGATTTGAAATTCCTTAGTAGTAGTAGTCACTCGGTGCCAAATCTAGGCTGTGGGGGGAGGATGATCAACAACACCCCAACGGAACTGCTTCAAAGGTTCTTGGGTGCATCTAGCAGTGTGCAGGCAAGTATTATTGTGAACCAACACCATGCCAGAAATCAGTATGCCCTGACGCTTGTTATGGATGGCTCATGTTTCTCAGTAGACTTCTGAATTGATGGTTGAACCACACTCCATGAACTTCACTAGCAGTACTCTTTTGGCATCTTCACATTTGGCAGGGTTTTCTATAGCATTACTTCTGGTGTGGTGTTGGTGTGGAGGAAGCATTAAATTATACGTTAAATTATATTTAAAAATAGTTTTCAGTAATGATATTTTATCTATCTATGAATTCACCATTTTAAAATAGAAACTGCAAAATCCACTGATGTAGATCCTGACACTAGAAATAACATCTACACTATCGTAAAATATTGTATATCGAAAGATTTACTAGTTTTGCCTTTAGGTTACAAAATCATAACATTGGAAAGACTGCTTAAAACAGTAAATCCAATTTTCTGCTCAATAAGTTAAAATATTTCAATAATTGATCATCCAGAATGTTTTTCCACTTAGATTCAATCAAACTGTATTTTCTTATAAGTTAAATTAATTATTCCATAACCCTGCTCTATGATAATGTATCTAATTCATCTTTTTGTAGATCTTAGAATCCCTTTGGATAGTGATGAGTCATAATGTTAGCCTTCTTTTTACCACAGTTACAACTTTGCTAACAGTCCTCTTCCACAGTAGCACTGCAGTTCTTAATTTTGTTCTTTCACTGGTAAGTATGACCACATTATTTGTATGGACTTAACATGATATTTACAGTGAGCAGAATATGTGGGCACCTTTGACCTGGATATCCAGCACAAATTCTGTTGTGAGATTTTGCAAAATTATGCATTAGTGACAAGACACAGAGAACTTAAGAGAAAAAAAATAGGATAATTTCATACATTGCAGGCTTTTGAGTGTGTGTGTGTGTGTATTGCCTTTATTATTTTTACAAGTCACTCAAGATGGCAAACATATCCAATAGACTTTTCTTCTCCTATTTTTCCCACAACAATCCTGTGAGATGTATTGGGCTGAGAAAGAGTGACTGGCACATATGATTCCTCTGCTATTCCATTCATCTTCTGTACTTGGAATGCAAAAGTGCACTATATTACTTATCTCAGGCAGAAAAATATGTGAGATTGATATAAATTCGTCCACTGCAATATAAATATTGTTACCTCACAATTCTATGAATCTGCTGTACTAGAAGCTCTGTTTTTTCTCTACGTAGATATTCATTCTAATCCTTACTGCGGTCTTTAGATGTCACTACACAAACTTGGCTCATCCTTTTAAAAATACTTTATTTAATTTAACAGAGAAACAGAATGACTGAGGGTGGCAAAAAAAGTAGTGGCAATGTGAGCAACTTCCAACTTCTTGCAGGTTTCCCTAGTGAAGTGATGGCGAACCTATGGCACAGGTGCCAGAGGTGACACTCAGAACCCTCTCTGTGGGCCCGTGTGGTGTCGCCCTAGTCCTAGGCCTTCAGCTGGGTTTTATAAAACCTTTTTGCTTTAAGCCTCTGCCGCTGTGTGCAAAAAAAAAAAAAAGGTTCAGTCAGTCAATTTCAACTTCTCGCAGGAAAAAAAAGATCATGCAAAGTTGAAATTAATTGATTGAACATTTTAGTCTCACCCAGTCTGCCGTTACCACTGCAGCCATGCCCACCCAACTGGCCACACCCAGCCAATGGGCCACACCCACCCGGCACTCGACGATGCATAAGTGGGTTTTGGGTTGCAATTTGGGCACTCAGTCTCTAAAAGGTTCGCCATTACTGCCCTAGTGACTCTATTTATGGAAAGTTGGCAAGGAGCATTGGAAATCAGCCGACTCTTGGCAACTGCCTGTCACTTTTCTGGGAAGAGGAGGAATAAAGGAATGACCACAGCAGGCAAAAAAGCAGAGGGGGAATGAGTGACTTCTGACTTTCTGTTGACTTCCCTATTGACTTTGCTTGTAAGAAGCAGGCAGTGAGTTTGGAAATCACTCATCATTATCCCTGGCTGACTGAAGGAACTGTCTGCCACTTTGCCGGGTGTGTGAACATAGCCATTGATCGTAAGAAAAATTGCATTCCTATTCTCCATCCCGGTATGTCTCCAAGGGCTCTCTCCCTCCTTCCCTCACTGGACAATACTATTTAAAGTTTTCAAATATTCAGATATTCGCCACTATTGCAAGGTTTCAAATCTCAAGCCAATTGGGTGCAGGGACCAGAGAGAGGGGTATGGATATGCCCCATCTATTTTCTTTGTGCCATACAATCAATGGTTTCTGAGAAGAATAGTCAAAAGGCACAGTTGTGCTCTATCAGCCACAATTTTTATCTCATGGGAGTAATGGGTTCTGGATTTTGGATGTATTCTGTAAGTTGAGGTACCTTGGTTCAAAACTTGTTCTGGGGTGCACCTTTTTGCCCAATGGAAGGGTGTAAATAAACAAGCATAAGAGTTTTAGTAGTATATAGATTGCACAATGCAGTCCATGTCAAATAGCTTTTGAAAACAAATAAAATATATAAATATTTTAAATATATAAATATATAAAAAATAAAATATGAGTTTAGAAACTAAAGATGTTTACATTGTACCTATCCTTCTCTGATCTTAATGGAGAGTTAAGATCAGTTGGAAAGATGTATTTTCAAAGTCCAAAGAAATAGGGTGCAAAGAAATATTCTATTTCATTGTTCTCTCTGAACAGCCCTAACCAAGATTCCATCTAAAGAAGAGAGGCAGTGTGTGGGAAAAACAGCTTCAGACACTGATTTAGAAATTATTTATTTGCTGGAAGTAGGTTAGCTTTTCCTTTTTTTTTTCTTTTATAATACTCTGAATTTTGAGTTTAAAAAAATCAAGTTTTCTTTTATCCTGTTTTGCAGGTGATTTTCCTGACTACATTATTCTATCTTTTAAGTTCCAGTGATGAATACTATAAGCCAGTGAAGTGGGTGATCAATTTAATCCCTTTGTTGCAGTCTGATGCATCTTCAAACATAGTCAGCGAATCTGTGGAGGAAGCCATAAGGTATAGTAGTTAATGGAATTATCTTGATATAACATGCATGGTTTGCAACAATTTTTCCTGTCTATTTATAAAAATGCTGAAACATTTTTCATTATTACAAAAAATACTAGACTGAAGCCAGAGATATCAAAACAGCTTCTTGTTCCCCTATGAGCTAAAGGTGGGCATTTTAATTTTATCTGAAGAAATTCTAAAAAGTTTGATGAATAGTTGTTTTTTATATTTAGTCTGACATTATAGGCTATATTTAATGGCTGCATGTTATCATTAATATATTCTTTACATTTAATTTTTCCAGTGTCCCTTAACTTGAGCTTCTAAATCATGTGCATTTTCAGCTATCATTAGCATAATTTGGGTTATTAATTATTCCTTCCTAATTTAAAAGCAGCCCCCCTTATGTATACTCAGTATATAGGTTTAATAAATAGGAAGAGAATCTTAACTCCTTTTCCAACCTGGAGCCATGTTGCATCTAAACTGTGGTTTCTTATCCTATATATAGATTTCTCAGGAGGATAATGAGATGTTCTGGGATTCCCGTTTTCTTAAGGATATTCCATATTATGACATGGTCAGCACAATCAAACATCTTTCTATAATCAGTGAAGCACATATTGACTTTTGGGTGTTTTTTTTTTCTCAATTATCCAATTAAGCATCAACAAGAATGTCTCTTGTTCCTTGGCCTTATCTAAGATCAGTGTGAACATCTGGCATCTCCCACTCAGCGAGAGCTCTAATTTGCATTAGAAAAACTAAAAATGAAATTAGGATAGTAAGGCTATTACACAGTGGTTTGAATATTCTGTTAAGTTTCATTTTGTTGGTATAAGCTATGAAGGCTGACCTTTTCCAATCTGTTGTCCACATTCTCCAGATTTGCTGGCATAGTTTGATTAGGATGTTTACAAATTCTTCTTTTGATTGCCATATTTATAGGGCATTCTATCAATTAATTTTAGTAATGATTGGACTGCTAACTAAATCTTTAAATATCAGAGATTCTTGTGAATAGAAGATATATTCTAAGATATCTTGGATATTGATATTTCTTCTGTACCAAATTTCAGTATACTCCTTTCACTTTGTGATCTCCTTAAATCAGTTACCATCTGTCCGTTGACATTTTTTAGCATACAGGTTGTCCTCAAGTTATGAACGATGATTCAGTGACCATTCAGTTAAGGTACTGAATGAAGGAGACTTATGGTCAATCCATGAAGTTTGTTTGTTTGCTTACTTATTAAATTACATGCTTGATTATAAATACCCATTTTGCTGTCTGAGTTGCTGCTGTCATTGTGTTCCCATGATTATGTGATTGTTGTTCAAGTGCTTGGCAACAGACCTGCAGTTTCAAGTGTCCTGCAATTACAATCACAATTTCCTACAAGCAAAGTCAATGGAAAAGCCACAAGTTAGTTCCTCTGCTTTTTTACCCATCCATGGCATCCATACACTTGCCCATGCTCCATAGTGTCTGCTCATGGCAACCATCCACCTGCATACATCTGCACTCTATAGTTCCTGCCTGGGCATTCACTCATCTGTCTGTAGCACCTGTGCACCTGCCTGTGCTCTAGAGGTACCTTCCCATAATGATTACCTACCCATACATGCTCTATAGCAGAGTACCCCAAATTTTCCGGCTTTGTGGACCAACGGGAGGGGGGGAGGAGATGGTTCACCATGAGCAACGGGCAAGCGTGCATGCATGCATACACAGCTCCTTTTGTGCAAACAGCAGATGTGCACCTACTGCTCACAGAAATAGAGCATGGCATTTGTTCGCCCACTGCTTACACAAGTGGGGATACGCATGCGCTCATCTGCCACTTCAGGCATCCTGGTTCTGAACAGGTCATGGCCTGCTCTATAGCACTGGTCAGGTGCCTGGCTGCCTGCAGCAACCAGCACTGCCCTATAGTCTAATTATATTATCTGCATTATTTTCAACTTTGTCTTTCCAATAATCCTAAATGGAAAGATTAAAATGGTCTCACAATTAAGAGTTCTTCTCTTTTAAGCTGATCTGTTCAGAGGAATAATAAAAAAACCACTTTCATTGCTCAAATTTCAACAAGGGAGCCACAAGGCGACAACGTGAAAGACAATTTGGATTGTTGGTTAAGAACTAGGCTAGAAACAGGGAGATTGCGAGTTCTAGTCCCGCTTTAGGCATGAACTTTAGATCAGTCACTCTGAGCAACTTTAGGTCAAGTCACTCCTTCACAACCGAACTAATCTCACAGGGTTGTTGTTGCTGTGGGGAAAATAGGTCAAGGAAAGAATATTAGGCTTGAGTTATTTATAAGGCAGGATAAACATGAATAAACATGAACCAAGATGTATATCAGCAGAAGTGATGGGGGGAGTGAGGGGATGGGAGCCAACAGTGTAAAATTTTTAAACAGACCATGATGTTAACAGCGCTATGAAGGTTACCACCAATGGAGGAAAAGAACGCAAGTATGAGAAAAGCTACGGTCCAAATAATTTCATCCTCCCTTCCCCCCACCTTCATTTAAAAGGCAGCTCTTATCCACTCCCAAAGCTCCGGGTGTGACGAAGCCTCAGCCACTCACCTTGGGGCAGGGCCTGGGAAACTTTCTGATTAAGCATCCGCTTCAGAGGCGTGCAGGTCATTTTTTGGGGGGGAAGGGTGGGGTTTTTGTGGGGTTATTACTTTAAAACGGGGAACACCCATCTCAGTTATTGTTAGCTCTGATGTGTGGTAAGATGATAAGTTCAAGGAGCCTGTCGTATTCCATTCAGCCATGGGTTGGCTTTTCCGTGATACATACAAATCTTGTGTTTTTAAAAATAGTTTAAAAGTCCAGGGGAAAAAACACAGTGAGAAGCGCTCCGCTGCCAGCCACTACTTTACTCCCCCGACGGAGCACTCCATTGCCGCTGCCGCTCTGACCCATTCCTCGCACAGAGTGCCCTGCTACTGCCGTCCCAACCCAACCCTCACACATAGCACCCTGCTCCCACCATCCCAACCCACTCCTCGCACAAAGCACCATGTTCCCGCTGCCCCGATCCAACCCTCGCACAGAGTGGCCTACTCCCGCCGCTCCAACCCAACCCTCACAGAGCACCCTGCTCCTGTCACCCTGACCCAATGCTCGCAGAGCGCCCTGTTCCCGCCGCTCCCCCCCACTCCCACACGGCACCTTTCCAACTCCGATGCAGTCCCCCATCACTTTCTCCGCTACTGTGTGGGACTAAAAATAAAGATCAATCAATCAATTCTAACTTTAGAGATCTTTTTTTTCCGGCAAGAGGTTGAAATTGATTGATTGAACTTTTTTTTTGTACATGGCATTGGAGGCCTAAAACGAAAAGGTTTTATAAAACCCAGCTTAAAAAGCCACTTGCCCGGGGAAATTTTGATGCAGGTTGCTCGTGGATGAGACTGAAGCCTCTGTGTGTCGCCTGTGGCACACATGCCATATGTTCGTCACCACGGATCTAGAGCTTTTCTGACTATCGGCCAGGTGTTTTGTAGTTGATTCATCCACTCTTTAAGGGAGGGATGGTGGGTTTCTTGTTAGGCAATTCTGGCATTTTATATAATCACAAGTGCTTGATATTTTGTCAGCAACATATTGTCTGGATTTCAGTACCTAGTTTGCTAATACATATTAAGTTCCTTTCTCTCTATCTTGTTTTTCCAGCCAATGATAAAAGGTATCCCATGTTCTAAAATAAACTGAATCTTCTTTCTCATTCAATTTCAATGTCAATCTATCCATTTCTGCACATTCTTAAGATTTTTTTAATTAATACTTCCTCCGTTGGTAGATCTTCATTTTTCCAATATTGAGCAAATACAATTCTTGCTGCAGTTAATATATGTAAAATTAAATATATACAGTCTTTCTCATAATTTCCTACAATTATGCCTAACAAAAATAATTCTGGAGATGGTTAGCATATAGATTGAAAAAAGAAAAAAGAATAATAAATAAGCTACACGATTCAAAAGAAGAATTACAGTTCCAAAATGATGCAACGAAAAAGTCATTAAAGACTACTATGAGACATTTTATAAGGCAGAGGAAGTTCCTAAAGAAAAAATACAGTTGTACTTAAAAAAAGCCGACTTGCCAAAAATCCCGGAGAATATTCGAAATAAACTAAATGGAAAAATATCAATGATGGAGATTATAGAAGCCATAAAAAGGCAAAAAAAGATAAGACTCTGGGTCCAGGTGGACTTTCTGCAGAATTTTATATAGCATTACAAGATGTATTAAGTCCGACATTGAAAGAACTGTGTAATGAAATCTGGTTGGAGACTAAAATACCAAAGTCGTGGATTGAAGCTAATATTACCTTAATACCTAAAGAAGATACTGACCTTACACAAATAAAAAACTATAGACCAATATCGCTATTAAATATGGATTATAAAATCTTTGCTTCGATAATAGCAGAAAGAATTAAGAAATTCTTGACTGAATTTATACACACAGACCAAAATGGCTTCCTACCTAAAAGACAGATAAAAAATAACTTAAGAATGATGTTGGATGTTTTAGAGTATTATGAAAATCATCCAGGGAAACAGATGGCATTAATATTTCTTGATGCGCAAAAAGCATTTGATAATCTGAACTGGCAATTTATATTCCAGTAGTTGGTGGAAATGGACTTTGGGGAAAACTTTATAAATGCAATTCAAACAATCTACCATAAACAAATGGCTAGAATAATCTTAAATGGAGACTATACAAAAAATTTTGATATCAAAAAAGGTACAAGACAGAGATGTCCATTATCCCCATTGTTATTTATACAAACATTGGAAGTACTGACTAGAAAGATTAGACAAGATATAGAAATTAAAGGATTGGAGATAAAAGATCAAAAATATAAATTACAAGCCTTTGCAGATGACTTGGTTTTTATCTTGGAAGAGCCACTTGAAACAACTACTAATTTGCTGGAGAGAATAGAAAAGGTTGGAGAAGTGGCGGGTTTGAAAA